TTTGCATTCTTATTTTTTAATAAAGAAATAGGCTCTGCCGTAATCGTGCGCCCGCTTAACTCCTCTTTATTTCTAGAAGTCGATTTCCTTTTATTTTTGTGCAAAACCTGAGGATTTTGAGCCGCTTTGGCGCCTTCAGCCTTGGCGCGTCTTGAAGACAAAAGTTGTGAGGACCCGGAATGATAATTTTGCTGCCCTTTCACCTTTAGGTTTTGGTACCCCTTCGGCCCAAGGGAGCATGGTCCCATGCCCATCCCTCCGTGGGCCGAACGGGCACCAAATAAAGGTTATGTGGCCCGAAATGAGGATTTGCATAGATAAGACAGTTGCATTGGCCTCATTCTTCGAAAAAACAGAAAAATGGAAATATATTCAGGTTGACATTTCGGCAGCATGCCTTTATTGAACGGCTGACAATGGCTATTTGTTTAATCCCCTGAGTGCTGGTATCCTTTTAAAACTGCGGCTTGCTATTTCAAAAATAAACTGAAAAATCGAGTACGGTCATCGGCAGGCCATTTCGAATCCACTCCTGCTTTTGCTTCGATAAAGGCTTGTCGCCGAAATATCAGCCTAACTATATCTCCATTTTCCTGTTTTGTTTTATTCGAGGAATAAGGCTAACACTACTGTCTTATCTGTGTGAATAATGTTCCTCGCTAATGTACTGAACAGCTTACGAAATGATAATTTTGGTGCCTCTTCATCACGATAATTTTTCTGCTCCTTTGGTCCAAGGGGGGATGACCCCATGGTCCCCTCACTTTGGATCCGCCACTGACCCCATCCCATGTTTATCCATGCCATTTTGTATCGTCAGATACTTGTTCAGTCGCACCTTTAGTCACGTCAAATTTTTCCCCATTTCGACTTACCTGCTTCAAGGCTACTCACTGTCGATTTTACGTCCCTTAAAGCGTTTTCCAACGTTGCATTCCTGTCAAGTTTTATCCATTTCGATTTTGCGATTTGACCCTTATCCCCGTAAACTTGTGTTCCATTTGACTTTTTGCCCTCGAACTTTTTCCAATTCGACCCTTGTCCCTGTGGGCTTTTCTGTCTTTTTAATTTTTTTGCCCTGTCGCTTTCCTCCGATTCGATTCGCATCCCTTTCCACTTTTATCCGTTTCGATATTTTAATTCCACATATGGCGTATGACATAGCTGTGTTTCATTTTCAGCCATCATGCTGCTGAATGCTGAAAGTCCACGACGTCACGTGCTCTTAACCTATTCATGCTTATGCCTCAACGTCATGCAGTCAGCTACGCACTAGATAATATATTGATACCAATGCAACTCCACCCTCTTGCCTCAATCAAATTGCTTTGATCGCGCGTTGCTGGGCTGTTGAATGTCTCTTCACATGTCAGACATCTGCCTTGCAACTCCGTGATCTGCACAACACGAGGGCAGGCGGTGAGGGTGAGGGCATTCACCAATCCAACTATTGCACCCTACAGCGGTTGGTCAGCTGCAAACAGAAACAGACATGGCCGCCAGCGCAACGGCACACTATTGCTTCAACTGAAGAGTTTTCGCCCCGTTTAGCGGCGACCGTCGGCTACCGAACGTCCAGTGGTAGAAAGGCATATCCGTCGCACGGAGAAGTACCGGCGCAAACTCGCAACTTCAGCGTCTGCATGAAGTCTGCGGCAAACGAGCGGCAGGCATTAAACGCGTGAAAAGACCCAGATGTTTGCAGTGACGAATCTTTTGGACCGCAAATAATTGGCGCTCGGCAAACAGGCAAATGAACGCGGACATTTTGCCGACGAAAGCGGAGGGTTTGCTGTATCGAAAGTTTTTGACCGATTGGGACCAAACTATTGTGAAATGTGCAAATATTTTGGGTGAATACTGGTCACTGTCAATCTGACTCTAGGTCTGTATTAATTTTATAGCCCCAGCATGCTTGTGTTAGGGACCGGCGGGCTTTTAATAGAGCCCGTTTTCGAACAGCTTAACATCAGTCGTTTCACGGTTGATTGTTGGCGTTTCTGTGGGTCCGACATTGTTAGGCTGATCGGGTGATTCGTTGACAGAACATACACCTTCACGGTACAGTCGGTTTCGAGCAGTCGTTTGCTCTGGTCGCCGAATTTCCAAGACTCCTCACCGTCGGTGTGCTGTTTGTGCACGAGCGCACGTGCGCAGCCGAACACATCAATTCTCACTATTGCCCACACGATTGTCGTTCTTTTCCCAGGGTAAATGCGTCAATCCTTTTTGGCTGTGAGCCGTCGTCGCTGAACCGTGAAGCGGGTTTCAACACGCGTTTCGGAGTTTTTTAAACAAATTTCGTGTTTCCAAGTTGAACCATCGCGATGCCTATGTTTGCACGCACCGATGGCGCTGCGCTTGTGGGATCCGGTCCGACGCCCGATGCAATAACGCAGCCCTGCTGGCCTGGCAGCACGCCCACTTTACGTGGCCAGCTGCTACCGTCACCGAGCCGTGGCTGCACGTGTGCATGACTGCAGAACAAACATCTCGGAAACAACAACGTAGATTTTCGGATAGCAGACGTCAACTGGTGTCACACAAATGCCTCTTAAACAAAACAAGGTCCTCAGAACTTATTCGTTTGTTTCTGATGCTGCCTTGAGCGTCATAACCGCATACAGCTGCCCTCGCCCCAATCAGTTCTAAATGGCCGCATGCCAGTTGTTAAAACATTATGTACAAAACACGGCCCCTGGAGGTCGTCCAATTGTCTGGCGTTGAAAGCATTGTATAAAAAGACGTTATACTGTCCGTCCTCCAAGGCCTATCTTGCTGCATCGGCACATAAACTGAGTGCTGAGTGTTCAGGACATTGGTTAATTGAAAGCCTGCATGCCGACAAAGCCGCGTCGCACGGTAAGTTGATGTCGAGGCGCCATTTGACACCGGTCTGTGGCGACGTCCATGGGCTTACCAATCCCACGCACCCACAAAACGGGCGTTTCGTACGGACTTTATAGCTCCACGAGCGTAACACCAGCAGGTTTCAAATCGATGTAAAAGTATTGCCAGCGTGGAACATAACCACTTGCACTGTGCCGCACCCAGGTGTCATTAAACAACCGGTAAACGACTGAGGAGGGCCTTCAAACAAGGCTTGCCATTCATCCGCCTCCGGGCGCCCCGTGCTGGACGGCACGCGGTCCTGACGCGTTATTGTCCCGAGAATGCGCTAGAAGTGGGCGTCCCAGACCGGACGTCACGCCATGGTGACGCGCGCTCACGGCCGGCGCAGTTACGAACCCCGGCCGTCTGCGGGGGGCGGTTCGTGAGCTTTAACCGCGGGCCGTTCGATCCTCGTCATCACCCCGGCGCCCAGGCCGATCCGATGGACAAACGTCGCAGCCTGACTCAGCCCCTGGCCTGGGACCAGACGCAGAGTAGAGGCTCCGTCGACCGACTGAAGCACGTGGCTCACGTGAAGCCGAGGCGGCTGAGGCAAATCAGCCGCACCGTCTGTAGAGGCGTCGGCAGTGTAATCATGGGCAGCGGCTGAAATCCCAAGCGTCAAGGCGGAAGCAAGGCGACGCAATGACAAGGTCGCACCGTCTGCACGACAAGCTGCCCTACGCGCAGTCAGCGGCGGCGGACAATGCCTCTCGGACACGGTGAGGTCGCGCCCCTTGTCCATCAACCCGTCTCCGCCCGAGCCAATCACAGCGCGAGGCGGACCGCCGACGAATCTGTAGCAGCCGGCGCGCGCCAAGGTCATGGGGTCACGCACGCGCTGCTCTCCGACCCGGACGCGGTCTGCATCAAGGAGCCGCCGCCGCCGCGAGGGGCGGCCGCAGGGTCGGACCACCGCGGCGGTCCATGTGACGCGGCGCTGATAGATCGGGCGCGGAGGCAGCACGGATACGGATACGCGGATACGGATCGCAGCTGGGGGCGACACGTGCCATCACTTTAATGATGCCGCAAAAATTACTGGGCCCGAAGCGGAGCGAGCGCTTTTGGTACAGTCATGGGTGAGGTAAGCGTCCAAGATAGGGGAGGGGTAAGCAGAATTGAGGGTCAAATTGCAGTCCGAAGATATCCTGAACTGAAAGTGACATTTCTGAACCGGATAACCCGAAAAACGTGCATTGTACGCACAAAATTCGGGATACCCGTTCCATTTTGAGAAAATTGGGAAGCGTGAACCCTCCAGCTTGCAACCTGCTGTCATGTCAATTAGTACGCCGAATCTACAGGAGTGGTTTCGAACTGAATTAAGTATTTTAGACTGCCATGGTTATAATGCAGGTTCAGGAAGATGCCCCGTGCAGATGCAGCGTAAATTGCGAATCATGTAACGCTCAATCTATTGATTGAGCGTTACATGATAACACGTCGGTATTTCATCAAGTCACAGGCGCCATAGTCTTCTCGCCACTGTAAGCCCGGGATCCAGCCGCAGTGAACGGTGGCCCACGCTGGCCCTGGTCACGTTTGCTCCACCGTTCCCAGGCCATCTAGATCTGGCCACTTTCGAAAAGCATTTCTGGACCACCTGCCGAGACCTTGGGAGCGTCACAGACTTACGTAGGCGTCTGCTTTATTGTGCAGAAGCCGGCACACTCCGTGGCTCACGAGGCATAATCACATTTACGTGAGAACCGCAGAGCCGCTTAGCCAGCGTGAACGGCGGCTCTCATGCGTGTCGACTCCAGAAGCCCAGCACCCGAAGGAAGGGACGGACGGGCGGCCGAATCGAGCCTGGATGTGACAATGGACACGTGTATATGGACAATAGCTTGAGTGTAATGTGATGCACCCTGTCTCCCGGACGGGGCACAGCGCTGAGTGAATCCAACCGCCCCAGTCATCGACCATTCAGCACAAAGCGATGCACCTTGTCTCCTGGACGAGGACACTCTCTATAGAGCGAATCCAGCCACCCATGTTATCATGGCCGCTTAGGTCCTTGTATCGGCACGGGATTTAAATGCGCCGGTATCCACGTGGCCGCAAATCCTTGCGTGATGCGTTGATCATCCAGTCTGTGGCAGCAAGAGGTTTGCCGCACTGAACCACATCTTCTGATCAGGTGCGCACCATCCGGCCGCTGGGAGATGCAGCACGACCAAGTGCGGGCAGGACATGTGAGCGTGCGTCATGTGCGTGCCCAGCGTACAGCGAAAACCACGCACCTGTTTCCTGACACACATCGCCGGCGCACGAGCACACCTCACTGACACGGCACCAGCTGGCCCTGACCTACACAGAGCTGTCCTGTCTGGTGAACTGGACTAGCCGAGCCATGCCAACCGACAAGAGCCACGCACTGGAAGTGACCGACAGTGACGGGGCAGACGCTGACAAGCGGCACGCAGCTGTCCAACCGCCCCACATAAACCACTGCACTGGTAATACCTCAACTGCTCTTTCGTTATGTGCGAGAGCGAATAAAGGGATGGATCATGTTCACGATAGCATATGACAAGCCAGGGGCTCACGAGTGGACCACTGAAGAACCCCCAGCTCTTCACGAATGCCAGTGAGGAACGATCGCAAGCGACGCACACGCACGCGGATAGCCGGAGCTCCCAGGCGTCCACGGGGCACGAGGCGCTCGAATGAAGATGCGTCGACGATGGCGTTTGAAGACCGGGTCGGCTGCCAGGTCTGGCTTCCCTCCGGTCTGCCAGCGCCAGCGCACGGAAGGCAGCGTCTGTTGTGCTGCGCCACCCGGCGCAAGCCCAACTGCCATCTATATCCGTTGTCGGAGAAGCTCTTCGTACTGAAACAAACAAATACGGGATGTTTTTGGTCGCTTTTGACAACCGAGAAACGATGACAGAGCGGAAATCTTTAATATCGGTTCAGAGAGGGTATCCAAAAGGGGAAGGAAAACATCTGATCGGATGTCTTTCCGAAGTGGTCTGGTAAAACGAGTTCTCACAAAGCATACGTCGTTGCAAAGACCAAACCCAAACTCCGCAAGAGCACGTCCATTTCGATTTGTTGAAATATGTACACGGTACGTCATGTGATGGCACTGTCGCCTCGCGCCAGCCTCCTTGGTCCGCTGCTGGCCGATGGCCACTGACGTCTCACGCAAGCGCCATCTCTGGGATATGAACCCACATGTTGGCTCCACAATAGCCAGATCTCCGCCGCTTTGCAAATTGAAGCACCCATGGCAAAAACACACAGACAGCAAATTGCAACCACCAATTAGGTAACAACCACATTGATTACAACATCCAGGCACGACAATGTACAGCCGAACTAGCCTTAAAAACAGGCTAGCGACACCACACTGACGCCACCTGTCGGCAGCGTCTACCGGCTGCACTTCACACACCTGCCGCCGGTAGTCGGCCTCCATGTTGGCGAGATCATCGACCATGGCGCGGAAACGCTGGCGCAGCGCCTGGTTGTCGATGCCGGCCATTTCGGCCTCCTGCGCCTCGCGCTGCGCCTGCACGTCCGAGATGCGCCTCTGCAGCTGCTCCAGCTGCTCATCCACGTCCGATGGCGAGTCGGCTACCGGCGCACGGCCAGGGTCGCGTCAGAGGCGACGGCGCACGGTCAGGGTCAGCGAGAGGATCCGGGGCAAAACCTGTTTATTGCAGGGGTTAGTCTTGCCGATCCTGTGTAAGACCCACTTCAATGCACACAGGGTGGAAAGAGCCGCGGAATGCGTCACGATCACGCGCGGTTGCCGACAGCTAGGGGCCTGTCTTCAGCATCAGACGGGACCAAAGACCTCTGAAAATAGCAGAGATCAAAGCTAAAACCAGAAGGAAAGACACCACTGATCCACGCAGTCCAAACTGACTGACTTGAAAAGGCGACACTCCACATCCGTTCCACTCACAGTACTCGCGTTTGATGGAGAGGGACGGCGACGGCGTGGACTTGGCCGGCGATGCCGTGTGCGGGAACATGCTGCTGTCGAACTCTGTCTTCACTTGGTTCTGGTCCGCCGTGGTGTCCTGAGGCGAACAGGGGCTCGGTCCAGCGGCGCCGCCCCCTCACGGGCAGGGCACAGATGTGCCACGGCGCGATGTTAAGTAGGGAGCGGAAAGAAAGCAGCGAGGGCTGAAGTCATTGTGGGGCGCTAAGCGATCGATGACGGGCTTTGTGGGAAACGGTCGCTGCGTTATTGTGGGCAGCCACGTACCGTTACGACCAAGAATATATCTGTTCATTACCACCGTCCCGTAGCGTCGCAACAAGCGTGAGTGAACAGCACAGGTAACTGAGAGCATCCGGCACCACGGCGGACTGACCATGGTGTTGGACATGTTGGTGGACTCGCCGCCCGAGAACTTGGACTCGGACATGGCCGAGTCCTCCGGGTCATCGAGCCGGTTGAAGCTGCGGTCGGCCTCCTCGTCGCTGTCGCTCAGCTCCTCCCCGAATATGTCATGCTCGCCTGTCAGCCAGCAGGCGACCGTTACACACGCACACACACGCATACAGCGGTCAGAGTTTCTAAGAGTTCTAAGTCGTCTCAGCAGCACGTCAGGGCCGAGTGGAACGGCCGAGGGGAGCTTAATGGCTGTTACTTCATGAGGAATACGCTCGTCATGCTCTGCATGGCGTCAATACTGATGGCGACGGGTGCCATTGTGCCGTAGCGAATACGATCGTAACTCACTGCGTCATCATACAGCCACTGCGGTGCTGGGCAAATCACAAGTGAAACACCTAATACCAGCCGACGCCTTCCGGGTTTGGCCCTGACCACGACAAGGCAGGGCCCTAAGAGCGCGCCGAGCCGTGGGCATGACGCGTACCGAGCTCCTCCTTGATGGTGGCCAGGGTCGAGCCGCCCGCCTCATCCTTCTTCTTCTCCTCGTCCACCACCTCGTGGCGCACGTGCACCGCCTCGTTGTCCATGCGCAGCAGGCGCTTCACCTCCTTTTCGATCTCGGGCACCTCCACGAACTGGTCGGACGGGGCGCCGCATGAGAACGAGCGGCGCCATCACACTCGGGCACCTCCACGAACTGGCCGGCCGGGGCGCCGCGTGAGAACGAGCGGTGCCATCACACTCGGGCACCTCCACGAACTGGCCGGGCGGGGCGCCGCGTGGGAACGAGCGGCGCCATCACACTCGGGCACCTCAACGAACTGGTCGGACGGGGCGCCGCGTGAGAACGAGCGGCGCCATCACACTTGGGTACCGCACCAACTGTGCAATAGTGCTGTATGTATATGGAGAGATCGAAAAGGGCCTTCACGTGACCTGTTTGACTTGGGGGGGGGGGGGGGGGTAATCACAGGCAGACATACACTGAGCTTTGGCACGCTATCGAAGAGGAGCGAAACTTCGAACTACTTGGCCACAAGAAAAACAGATATCAGTAGTTCAGTTGTTAAACTGCGTGCCGGAGAAACCCGAAGTAAGGGGTTCGATTCCCCGCGGTGCCAGCTCTTCATGCCAGGGTGAGAGGTGAACAACGCCACATAGCCTTAGCAGCCGAGTGCACCACAAAACTGCAATGGCAAATAAAACATAGGCACTTTAATTTGACGTAATGCAGCTCATGCCCGAAGAAATCAAGGAGAGGGAAAGCACCGAAGAATAGCGAAGTTTCATGTTAATACCAGCAATGATTCGCGATCATCAGTTTCCAAAAATCGCTCCGGTGTGCCAGCCGACGGGGGCGGAAAGGCCGCCGTCACATTCCCCGAGCGCTATAAGTTACCAAATATTACCTATCAACAACTACTGACTACTACAAACTAGGGTCGAAGTCATCGGCACAAGGCCCTCCATGGCATGCAGGCGGCTGAGGAAGAGCTTCCGGGCAGCAGGAGCATCACCTTTTTCTTCAGCGTGCGTCGGAAGCGTCGCTTGCGGACGTTCTTCAAGGGCGGCGTCAGGCCGTGCGGGTACAGGTACTTCTTCTCCACCTTACTCGGGTCCCGGCGCTTCTTGTTGGGCGATTCCTCATCGGAGGCGTCGTCATCCTCCTTGCAAAACATCATCTGCAAGCAGGGAGGCATGTAGCAAGACCGACACATCCTGCTAGTAACGCAACTAGCTGGCATGTAGGATGCTTTTCAATTAAACATGGCACAAACAGATGACAGGTGCAGAGACACGCATAAAAAACAGCACAAAACTGACAGAAGGTTGGCTGCAGCCACCAAAAATGATGAATGGGGAGGGGGCAAAACACCCATGCCTGCAGCGCTGTAAAAATGCTGGCAAGATCTCCCTTTACGTTTAATTGTAATGTAGCTGGCGTGATATTCGAACCCCCAGATAAAATGTGGCCTTGGCTGACGACAAGGCGTTGCGCCGTGGCTAGAAAAGGTTTATGACGAGCCTGGGCGCTCACGCCAACCTCCCTTGACACGGTTATGATCTAACAATTTTGAAATTGGATGATGCCATTTAACGCACTTGCCACAAACTTTTCAGCATTTTCCGCCATTGTACTACGCGACCAAGATGATCTACGATCGTTAATCCCTAACAAGGAGGTGATAAGTGCCTCACATGATTAATGAAGACGCGTAACAACACTATGTCTACATTACACCTGGGCCAAGTGTTTTGGATAAAATCTGACTCCACATAATTCCACCACTAATTCGCACGATTACTGCATGGGCCCTTGACAGTGTATATGGCATTGTCACATATCACATGCAGAGTATGCAAAATCCGTCCGTAGAAATCCAGAAAACGCAATCGTCTTTAACGGAAAATGGATGCCACAAACTGAAGTGCTGCGCAGATCCTGCATAAGTGGACATACCTGACAGATATCTGCCGTTTTGTAGAAGTTTTTGCCGTCGATAGTTTTATATGATTCTGTCATGGTTGGCACATCGACAATCTGAAACAGAATCATGGGTATTGGTCATTCAAAAAAGGCTACCACCAGCAATCAGCAAAACATTTGCTAATTGGGTGTCTCCTTCACCCAAACCACTTGCATGACAATTCATCTAGTCCAGGCAACTATTCGATCGGCCTGATGACACAGGCCAGTTGACCATTCTCTACTCAGCATATGGCCTTGGCCCGCGGAACATTTCTGAAGATATTGCTTGGAAGCACGCATATATGAACTAACCAACCAACCTAATGATCTCTCCCTTCTCATATCCTCATCAAGTGAACACACTCGGACCCTCAGCCGACTCCCATCCGCGCCATGTCCTCCGACAGCGACGTCGGCCCTCTCCACTGGCTGTGTCAGCTCGGCCAGCTGGTGAAGGTCGCCTCACCTTGGCCGGCAGGTACCAGTTGTCGAAGCGCACCGTGCCGCGCCGCATGTCCGACTCCATGCTGATGAACAGGCGGTCCTTGATGTTGGACATGCCCTCGCGGATGGCGTGTCGCAGGCTCTGGGCCGGCACCTGCCGACGGCGGACACCGCCCGTAGTGAGCCGACACGTCACTCCCGCGGGTCACGGCTGGTGCTGGCTGCGTGATTCCGCAGCGGGTCTGTTGATTCCATGTGACGTGCGTGGCCGACTGTTCAGTGTGAGCCCAACCCCGCGCCAGCCCCTATTTCGGAGTCACCTCGTCCAGGCTGATAGGCAAGGGGACGAGTGCTACGGCCAGACCAGCTGGGATACAAGTTCCTCATGTACCTGGGGTATACAGGTTATCTTTCCCCTTTCTTTGAAGTGTTTTTTCTAGTGACCAGAGTTGACCCTCTTCACACCCACACATCTGGCCTTTGGATCAATACAAAACAGTGGCACACATAGTCATTATTTTACTGAGCAAATGTCCTGTGTAAAGTATATACATATACCATCCATCCCATTATCATGTCACATCCTAAAGAAATTATTGTCAAGTTGGTTGTGTTTCATGCCAAGGCATTCAATCTGGATGGAAAAGTGTAGCAAGTGTAATGGAAAAGTCCAGCTGAACTACACACAAAGTGTACAAAGCTGTACTTAAAAACTAGTGATTATTCAATTTCCTTTTTCCAATTTCCACACATTTCCTTTCAAGACACAAGCAATGGGCAGCAATCAAAGGCAAAACAGCTGTTGATAACACATGGAACTTACTGGTGGGAGGCGGAGAACAAACTGATTCTCTAGCTCCACTGGAGGCTCGGACCCGGGTGGACGGTTGCTCTTATTCATCCTGGAAGCTGTCAAATCATCACAATCAGTGCTGCACTTAGGAACTATATTTGCTTTGTGTAATGGATCTGTAAAAATTTCCTGGCATGCCACATCACCCAATTGTTTGGCTTGTAACATAAGTCAAGTGCAATCATGTAAAAGAAGTTACATTCATGTTTGTGCCCGTAGCACAGCTGACCAGTTAAAGCCACCTGGCTCCTAGCCCATCCATGGGACAAAGGGGAGATGACACCATGAGGAAGTGGGGAACACAGGTAGTGATCAACATGAGCACATGGAACAAAAACAATGGGCTGTATATGTGTCCTGGGCCACCACTTTGAAGGCAACAAAAAGGACTAGGAGCTACAATGTGCTGCATTCCTGCACTAGTCAATTTCCTATGTCATAAAACAATGCACTTTACATATACTACATAGCAATTAATAATGCATAATTAAACACAGACTTAAACAATAACACCAATGTAGAGTAACACTGAAGAAATTATTGTTCAAACACCAAGCCACAGAAACCAGTTTGGCTTATAATTACACAATTCTTTTGGGGTTAAATTTTTTCAGGTTGCACAGTATATGTTATCTACAGGGGAAGGTTCAACACTCATTGTGAGCATTTTGTGACTTGACACTGGGGCATAGCACTGTGAAGTTAAGGCAGGGGTAAAGATTCACCATAAAATATGCTAGATATATACCATATGGAAGGCTCTCAATTCACCCCCTGAGAGGGATGGCCTATGGCCAGTCACAGTGGCTGCTCAATGTCAAATATGGTAAAGGGCAGGGCAGACAGTGCTGAACACTGTGGCAGATTCAACTGTTGCCACCAAATGATGCTGCTTAGCCAGGATTTGGTGATCATATGGTGAGGCCAGGGCAGGGGTGTAGCTTCCTCTTCAGTTGAGGACTCTCCATCTAGACTTTGAGAAGTCTGGGCCAAGTCCAGAGAGAAGCCTGGTTTTCAATGCATTGGGGGGACAGGTTTGGACATTTTTCACTGCTCTCCCCCCCCCCCCCCCCAACTTATTCAGTAAACCCACACCTCTGGGCTATGGTTCACACATCTGCTGATAATCACCAGCTCTGGTATCATAAATCCCCTCAATCAAACAGGTGTGGACAAAAAAGAAGATGCTGCTGGCAGTATAATGAAACCTGATATCCCAAAAAAGCAGAGTGAAACCTGAATATTTTGTTTTTAAATTTTTGTGACACTAGGAACTGAGCTACTATAACTTTTGAAACACCACCTTATTTTAATATACTGCTACATGACTGCCTGATTGTCCTATGCCATCCTAGCTTTTAGGAAGTCCAAAGACAGGTGCTCTCTTCATCTTACAAATAAGCCCGACTGCAAAATACAGTAGAATTTGGCCATCTCATAAGGTTGGCCATCACATGGCCAGGTAGGGCTGGGGCAAGACTTGGTACTTTGAGCAGGCTTTGGAAATTTTAGGGCAGAAATCCTCCAACAGGATGGCTCAGATCATTTAGGGATAGCTTGTGGTCCCTTGTGGCAGATATTCAGCTAGGGATATATCTTGTTGATTTTCAGTGGTCTACCACCTTTTAGAGACCGGCAAATCAGTAACTACAGTAATTTCATATATTTCCATAGCAGATGAACATAGCTATCTGTTATACCAGCAGTGTATTGAATTATAATATTTCAGTATGGTGCCCTCATATAACAGAGTGACTGGTAATGGTAGAGCTACTGTTATTAATGCATACTTAGTTCTCCATTGAACAAATACTTTGCAAAATAAGTTTCTTGCTTTGACACTTGCTTTGACATGTATGGTTTCACACCACATACACTTCTACCAATAGAGGAATTCTTCCCATGGAGCTTGGAAGATTATGTTTGCAGAGGGGTATATGTTTATCAATGCAGGCCAGGCAACTGAAAAACTCTACTACAAATACCTGACTGTATGCTGCCATATGCTAATATCCCAAATTTGGGTAACCGAGCTCCAATACACACGTAGAGAAATAAAGCATGCATACTCCCCAAAATATTGCAGCAGACCCGGTACCTGAAAAGGACATATACACGGGAAATAATGTAGTTAAATTAGGGCTCAGATTAGCTACAAAACAGAGCATGATAAGCTACAAAACAGAGCAAGATTAGATACAAAACAAACCAGGACCAGCTACAAAACAGAGTGAATTGTTGTCCTGAAAGAACTGCTTTTTGAAGAACCGCCAAATTTTGTTTGAAAAAGTAATGGAAACTAGAAAACCACACTCACACCCTCAAGAACTAGCTCATGATGAAAGTCCGAGACACGACCACAACCTCCATGCACCTGGCCACAAAAAGGGTCAAAATATTGGGGCAACAATTTGCATCATATCCCACAAAACTTAAAAAATCACCTGTAGTTGGCGCAGCCGTCACCTTACAAAACGCCCCGCAACTACACAGCGTCAATGGTAATCCTTATGGGGACAATGCGCTAAGCCATGCCCCACCCAGGGCAATACAACGCTTCACCTTAACACCTTAGGGATCCCACTATCCGTTCGCTTCTAGCGGTGTTTGAAGCAAAGGCGTCAAGCTGGGCTCCTTTGAGTATTTTGGTTTCCAAGTCGATAGAGAATTTTTGCCTACAGACTTGTGAGGGTATTTCGTGGCATCCTGCTGGTCTAGAAATTTCCATAATTTTGCTGAGGACCCGGCGAACAGGCCGTATTGCGGTGCTGATTTCTTGGCTTTGGAGACAAATTCAGGGTGGGGGGGGGGGGGGGGGGAGGGACGATTGCTGAGTTGTGCGTGTAGGCGTAGCGTACTATTATAAAATACTACATCGTCGTGGCAAATGGTGGAGTAGTTGGTTGCGTAGCTATGTAGCGCACTGCGATTTATTTTGAACCGTCCCCTGTTTGGGATCCACCCAAGTTTCTCGTACGGATGCTTAATCACAGCATCATGTGACTCTTGGTGGAAACATCGCACGTAGCTAAGTACGCTGTAAGCACCGCAAAAGCCATACTAACGGGTGCCAGCTGAAGCCATCACGCTGAGTGTGGATAAGTAGTGTGCTAACGGCGGTGATATTGCCTCGCGTCGTAACCTCTCGCTTGTACGGTACTCAGTGATAAGGTTGCAAAGGAGTCAAGTTCTATGTGCGTGATGTGAATACAAATTTACGCTATCAGTATCCGTATCCTCCGAAGATCTCCGCACGCACGTTTTATTGGCAGTTTATATGTTGTCCTATGACCCTGAACCCTGACATTTCAGCTGCCCAATCGATTGGCCGGCCCCGAGGCGCCTAAATCCTGGGTTTACCGCCACCCGGCTCAACATTCGTTAGTCAATCTCGCATGAGGGAAGGAGCAACAGTCAGTGATGCCCGATCCGGGAGTGTGAAAACACGCAAAATATCGAATTGACACGTTAAAAATATTGACAACCCACACCCGACTCAGGCTGGTCAGACATCGCCACACCGCCCAGCCTAAGTGACGCAGTGCGTTGTGAAGCTGGATGGTGTTGTCACTACCCCAGCCGTCGTGCGATGCATACGTGTTGCCTCGTTTTATCGAACCATCTGTATGTGCGGTCACACCGCGGAAATACGTGACTATGGTGAGTTGCACAAGTCGTGTTTAAACGTTGGATTAATCTTCCGCCCTTATATTGCATAAGAACGAATGCAGCTGCCTAGTAGGTCAGAATTTCTTAATGTGATTGCCCATATGCGGGTATATACGGTTGAACGACGATTATGAACCCGCGCAACACCATGGTACCTTACTGATGGATCACTGATAACGCAGGAAGAAAGTGAGACGTTGGTGGGTTTCGGTCTGGTCGTTGCGCTACCACCAATTCCAGCCACTTATGTCAGAAAGGAGAACTACCACGGAACGGAACTGAATCCCTTCAAGTTGGTGTGGGATTAAGCTTGGGCTTGGACTTCAGACGCGCGAGGAGCTGACGTCACTTGTGGCCGGGTGTCCAGCATGGGCACCGAACGATCTTAGGAATACCGACGCCTCCGCGCTGTCTTGATCGGCCCCTCGCGTTCAGTGTTAACCCCTCGTACTTGGTCTGTCTCGCCCTCGGTCTGGCCGCTCTCTCCCGCGGTAAGACCCAGAGAGAGCCCAAGAGACCATGACCTTTTCCACCGGCCCGGTGTGTCCCGCCTCCGCCCCCTTCGCGCTCACCTCCTCATTCAACAATATCACCAGCTACCACTATCATTTTGGTGCTTCTATTGTCAGACTATCGTTTCCTGTGAAGGAGCTAAGCCCAGTGACAACACCTATGTGTTGCGTAATGTGTTCGATGAACGAAAGCTGCAGCATGCACTCCTGGAGGAGTTCGTATTATTCTTTTGTCAATAGCACTATGTTACTGCCCTCAATGCTGCTGACGGAGGAAAAGACCAATACCGCAATGCTGCATCTGTCTGCGGGATTACTTGCTGTTGTATTTTTGTGGACCAGTATATAATGCTGGTTTTATACAACTTGCATCACAATATTGCGGTCGCTTTTTTGTAGTGGTAGCCTGTACACCAGTGTCCCGCTATGATGGATGTTGACTCCTCAAAGTGATTTGGCGGGCCGAGTCATGGAAGTCGCCACAAGGGGACAGGTACGCACAGCTTCTCGGATATAGTCCACTATGTTGCTGGCTCTATATATATATATATATATATATATATATGCATATATATATATATGTATATATACGTATATATATATACGTATATATATATGTATATATATACGTATATATATATATACGTATATATATATATACGTATATATATATACGTATATATATATATATATATATATATATATATATATATATATATATATGCATATATATATATGTATATATACGTATATATATACGTATATATATATATGTATATATATACGTATATATATATATACGTATATATATACGTATATATATATATATATATATATATATATATATATATATATATATATATATATACACACACAAGCTACGCTTGCTGCATATTTTTATCACATCATGTCCGTAGTCACAGCAATGGCATATGGAAGCCTAGTAGTTTGCATCATTTCCGTGTGAACGCACTTGTTTTGTGAAGCTTAATGGGTGCAGTTGTACCTTTCTCTTGCGCACTGAAAATTGAAATAAGAGCACAGTTCATCACTGGGTGCTTCCGTACATATATCATATATAGTCTGTTATGCGCCTTTGGTGCATATATTCATGTATTCACAGGAATAATGCTCGCAGTGTATCTGGCATTGTATTCCGTTTACATGAAGCTTTTCAACATACCAAAATTCCATCTAAAAACATGTGCGTTTCAGGTAATGTAAAGCAAAACATAGGCACTCATCCCCACGTCATTTTAGAAAGTGGTTCTCAACCTTTCCCCAAAACGCTCAGGCACATTCCTTTTCCGCTTACCTCATCAAATATGCCTTGCGAGCCAGCTGTACTTCTGGAAGACACTGATCCAAGCTGTTGTGCCACCGAAGGGTAAGCGACCCTAACCCGCTTCAGCTCCAACATATGGCAAATGTGAAACGACCTTAATGTCAATGCCACGAGCAACACACGTTGATTGTAAAAGTGATGCTGGTTGAGCTGGCTCTTCATCGACCATGCTCGTGTGGGAAAGTTCAACCTTCGTTCGGATCCGAGCAGTGGAATCATTACATAGCAGAGCATTGACCAGAGCGGACTTCGAACAAAAACCCCGATGCCTGGCGTTGCAGTCTCCGTAAGCCGCGAGGCATCGGTCCGTTTGCTGGTATTAGGAGGTGGCCAGTGAGCGAACGAAAACGGCAATGTTTCGGTAAGACATACCTTTGAATGTTTCAGGATGCCAATTCGTTGGTTTAGAAGGTGCTCCGGGAGCATGTTCACCTGTGTCATTAATATATTTATAATTGGAACGGATCAACCTTCACGGCACCGCGAACTGGTCCGGTGGTGAGGCTAGATAAGCAAACATAAAATACCTTTTCTTGTTCTCGGCACTTTTGACCTGTCCGGAGCACATTCTCAAAATTTAACATGCAAAATTTACGCCCCCGTCCAAGATAGTAGACAGATGGCGATGCGTTTAGGACTTACTGCACGAGCAGTTCAAACGCTAGCTGCATTTCATTGGCCCAGTGTTCCCTTCTTTGCTCGTATGTACTGGAGGCGAGGAGGGGGAGGTGAGAAGAGCGTTGAAGGGGCTTAACGGAAGTGTTATACATCTAGATGGGGTTTTGAACTGAAATAGTCGTTTTGAAGATTATTATGTGCAGTTCGCAGCCCTGCCCTTCTTAAGAATTAAAACCCTCCGGTTTTTTAGCTAAACGCCATCGAAAATGTGCAAACTATTCCTTGCAGACTATTTCATCGCCAATCAGGGACGCATGATGCAAAAGCAATGTCATTCAAATCCCGCCCCCCATAGGCCGTGCGAAAAAAACAAGGCCAAGAAGAATATTTTCGTCGAGCCAGCCACATACAGTGAGACCAATATCGAGATTATCGAGAGGTAGAGACGGGTTTTGTGTGAGACCACTATGAGATCACGATCCCTAGTCGACGCGGGTGTCCAATAATTGGCACAGAGACTCTGGTTTAGCATACTGCCCCTTGGCTGAAATGCGATGGAGGGCTCCCCGCTCTGTAATGAAACCCCCGACTGAAACGTGGCCTTTCATTGTCTCATTGTGGACTCCCATCGGAAATTATTACATTCGCTAACATTGCCAGAAGTTCCTGGTCAACGCAAGAGGCCCTCTAGCATTCTGGGTCCAGCCTCCGCCCCCTGTTCAGCAAATGTTACCCTGGCCGTCTCGGGGCCCCTTGCTCTGCTAGGCACTGTGGGCCTCTGACCGGCACGAGAGCCTCATTGTTTCAGGGGTCCCGACCAATGCAAATTGCGGGTTTCCAACCTCTTCCTTGCTCGGGAAATGGGCTCCCAGGGCTCAGACCAACACGGAGCCGATTGTTCGTTGTTGACGATTCTGACCAAAAGAGGCCTGCGTTGCCTTTGGGTGCCTTCAATCGGCGCGTGTGTGTGTGCGACACTACCGGCACCCCCTCCTTCAATCGGTGCAAAAGACTCTGCCAGAGCTTCAGCTAGTCGGACTAACATTTAAGGACTCGGCCCTTCAGACCGGGGTCCTTAATGTGACCTACAGTCAGCCCTTCGTACTTTCCCACCAGATCGTCGGTATCTAGGGGCATTCGGGCCCCTTTGCGGGTCTCTCAAACACTGCCACAAACCGATTCTGTATGCCTTGCTATACGGGATCATTGTTATGAATTGTAATCCCCGGATCGAGACAAAGGCTCCTTCATTGAATCAGAGGCCCCGACCGATGTAAATCACGAACCCCGGCCTTGTCCCTGCTTGGAAAATGAGCCCTGAATCCTAGACCGGCCGCTGGGGTAACCTGGTGTCGATGCTTCACTTGCCACGGTTGGTAAGCCTCCACCCCAGTGGTGTTGTTTCACAAAATAGGCTGGGGGAGGGGCTGAGCGGGAGAACTCTAACCTTCAATGCAAAAATGGGG